TTGTATTCTAGAAGTTGTTTTAAGAAACTGAAATTTGTATCTTTAAAATATTAGAAAAAGTATTATTTACTGACTAAACTGTGCCACTACAGTTTAAAATCACTTGCTGTTCTGAATACTTTTTTAGATTTTTCAAGCATTCTTAAATTAATTTTACCAAATGCAAATTTGCTTTATGAAGTAAATGGCATGCAGTTCAACTATAGGAAATAACTCTTGCAAAGAAATGCTTGATATTCAGAATTTGGAACAATTGGTTGGCTGGGAAACATTAATGAACATCACAGACTGACTTGCTTTCACAGGAATGAATTTAAAACTACGACTGTTTCTTTGTAAATGGAAAAAGAACTTCTAAATGTCCGTATTTATAGCAACCATATGTCCCAGACTTTCCAGGGCAGTTCCTCATTTTATATTCTCCATCTCCTCAGACCAGGCGTATTGATTTTTAGTTTGGAAAACTTGTGCATTCTTCTAATAGAAATATAGTTCTTTGGAATCATTTCATTTTAAGTAGAAGTTAAGAAACTCACTTCAGATCACTTGTCTCAAAGAAGGAAGGCGGAAAGAAGATGTGTGGCAAGAAAATTTTTAAACATGTTTATATACCAGAGTTACTTGAGACACGGACATTTTTATTATATGCGATTCTTGTTCTGTGGTTTTGTTGCCAGAATGTGATAAAAGAACCAGGAGTATTGAGCAACAGTACGTGGGACGAAATGTTTTCTTTCTGTCCCGCAGTGACCAGGCACCGCCTCTGCAGTGAAGACTGAGTGTCTAGGGAAGATTTATAAATTGAGTTTTTAAGAAATAAGGAGCACAATGAACACATGGAAAGATATTCAATGTCATTGGTCATTGTGGAAATGCAGACGAAGCCACAATGAGATGTCACTTCACATCCACTAGGAGGGCTATTATCAAAAAGGTAGATAGGAATCAGTGTTGGCTCTTGCAGTGTGGCGCAGCGCTGTGGAGGGTCTGGTAGTTCCTTGAAAGAGATACCGTATGACCCCTAATTCCACTCCTATGTATGTACCCACGAGAAATGAAAACATATGTTAGCACAAAAACTTGTACTAGAATGTTCATAGCAGCATTATTTATAATAGCAAAAAAATGGAAACAGTGTCAATCAGCTGATAAATGGATAAATAAATGCATGTATATCCATACAACATAATATTCAGCAATAAAAAAAGGAATGAAGTACTGATATTTGCTATAGCACGAATGAACCTTGAAAACATTATGGTACGTAAGAGAAATCAGGCATAAAAGGCTACATATTATATGATTCCATTTATATAAAATGCCCAAAATAAGCAAACCCATAGAGATAGAAAGTAAATTGGTGGTTGCCCAGGCCTGAGAAAAGAGAGAGGACGTGGGTGTCGTTTTTCTTTACGGGGTGATGAAAGTGTTCTAAAAGTGTACACTTTAAGTGGGTGAATTGTATAGGATGTGAATTATATGTCAATAAAGCTGTTATTTTAGAAAGGTGGAGAGGGAGTCTTTTGTTCACTGGTTGAGACAATGTGTTTCCTACCTTCTTTACCAGTGGTTCTCAGCCAGGGACAGTCTTGTCACCCAGGGGCAAATGTCAGGAGATATTTTTCGTTGTCACAACGGGGGGAGGAGTGGTACTGGCATCTAGCGGGTAGAGTCCAGGGATGTCGTTAAACGTCCTTCAATGCATGGAACAGCTCCCCCCACACACAAAAAAGTGTTATCTGGCTAAAATTGTCAGTAGTGCCCAAGTTGAGAAACCTCATTTCATATCTGTGTTGCTCAAGTGATCATTTATCACAGCTATGTTTTTGAAGCACTGTAAGGTTATGTATCATCAAACAGAGATATTCATTATATTCAGCTTACTACGGGCAAGGCTATTCAATAGACTTCACTCAAAAGTAAGTGTTTTATTTTTTTAATCTGGTTAAACCTAAACCTGTTAGATAATTCAACTAACCAAAATATTTTATTCCTCAGTCATCCTGGTTGAGATTTTACTATATTCTGTTACATTTTACTTTCTTACTTAAAGCTTCTTAAAGATCAAATTTATGAATTATAACATCTACTTGTAATAAATACAGGAATAAAAAAACATGCCACAGCACAGCCTTGAAGGTATAATTAAAAGCTAACTTCTCCATTGCAAACATTATTATCAACTCTTGTTCTGGAATGGGAATATGGCCCTAAGCTAAGCTAGTCTGTTAGGCTTTAATCTCCAGCCATGCTCCTGTTATTGTTTGTACCTGTTTGAAATGTCCACAGACGGGCCCAGAGGAAAGGGAGCAGCAAATTCATTATAGAAGCCATCATTTCAGGCATAACAGCTAACATTTATCGAATGCTTACTGTATGCTGGGTATTATGCAAAGCACACACACACACACACACATATATGTATGTATGTATATTATCTCATTTAATTCTAACAAAACCTATTAGGTAGGTATGCTTATTCCTCTTCTTCTAGAAGCACCCCCCTTGTTGTTCTGCAGATCTTACACTGCTGTTATTCTGAGAGTTCCCTTCCCCATCACTCTGGGCATACTTTGCTTCTTTCCTGTCGAGTCCCCTTCACTGCCCTTACCATGGTGAACTCGCTCATTTTGGTGAAGTATATCCTCCATTACATTCCTGAGAACACCAGTGTCTGCAAATGTCTTTATTCTACCTTTATCATTGAAAACGATAATATGTCTGGGTATAGAATTCTATGTAGGAAATACTTTTCGCTCATAATTTTGGAGGCATTATGTCTCTTGTCATTCAATTTTGGGTATGATATATTTTGTGTCTCTCTGAACTTTTAGAATTGCTTTATCTCTAGTGCTCTGAAATGTCACAATGATGTGCCTTGCTGTGGGTCTTTTTGTCATGGAATTTGCCTAATACTCAGTGGGGTCTTTCACTCTCAAAATTCATTTTCTTGAGTTCAAGGAAAGCTTCTTAAAATGGTTATTTGATCATTTCCTCCCTTTCCTGTTTTCTTTTCCTGGAATGCCTATTATTTGAATGTTAACTTTTTAAATCCTATAGTTTTCTTATTTGGGAAGTTCTCATTTTGAAATTATGTTTTTAGTTCTAATTTCTGAGAAATTTTTTAACTTTATCTTCCAACTCTATCTTAAACTTTTAATTGAAGTTGTATTTTTAATTTCTTGATTTCTGCTTGTTTTAGAGCCTCATAGTCAGGTTGGCAGACGTTTCATCTCTTATTTCTGGGGATGTTAATACAGTTTTTCTAGAGTATTTATTCTACAGTCTAACTTGGTTCTTACTCATTTGACTCCCTTCTTTCTGTTTGCCTTTTGGATTAGGTGTCTGTTTTTCAAGTTACAGACTTTTCTCAAATATTTAGTCTTCCTTAACTGTTCATAATGTGTAAGATTTCAGTGTCTATTTCCTCCTGATATGATGTACTAAGAAAATCCCAAACACCACTTATATAGTATTCTTGCCCCCAAAATGTATACCCTACATTCAACCATGAAGAAACAGACAAACCCAAATTCAGAGACATTCTGTAATTAGCCAGTACTCTTCAAAAATGTCAAGACTGTGAAAGACAAAGGAAGACTGAGGTACTTTCTAGGTTAAAAGAAACTAAGCATAACAATTTAATGCAATGTGTGATCCTGAATTGGACCCTGGATCAAAATTATTGGGGCATTTAGCAAAATTAGAGCGAGGTCTGTAGGTTGAATAATAGTATTCCTGATTTTGATCATTGTGGTATGGTTATGTAAGATGTTAACATTTGAGGAAGATGACTGCTTTTTTTCTTCAAGTACTTTCCTGCCCTATTCCCCCTCTCTCTTGACTGCTTGATATTTTTTTGCAAATGATTTTTTTCATATTAATTATTAATTATTCATATTTCCTATTTATTATATTTCCTTTGATACTGGATCATAGTCTTTGTATGTTTAGTGATTTTTTATTGTATACTGGACAGTGTGTGTGGTACATGACAGAAAACATGAATTTTGTTATCTTTCCCTGAAGGGATCTTTGTTCTAGCAAGTTTTTAACAGAACTCCAAATGCTATCTCTCATCAGATAAACATAAACTGATGTCTGTGCTCAGTCCTTTCAAGCCTTCCAGCTGTTACCTTTCACATGTGCAGTTCAAGAATCAGCGAGGGCCTAACCCGCGTGGCTCAGTGGTTGAGCGTCGACCCATGGACCTGGAGATCATGGTTCAGTTCCTGGTCAGGGCACATGCCGGGGTTACCAGTTCAATCCTAGTAGGGGGCGTGCAGGAGGCAGCTGATCAATGACAGCTCTCTCGTCATTGATGTTTGTCTCTCTCTCCCCCTCTCCCTTCCTCTCTTTGAAATCAATATATAGAGATTTGGAGGGACTCTTGTGGCTTCTTCGTTTCAGGGATTGTCCCCTTCAATTTCCAGTTATGCTGCTAAACTCAAACTAGGTCTTCTAACTCCTCAAGTAAGATTTCAGGTTCCTGCTTAACTTCTAATCACCTCACCGTATGAACTGTGGAGTACTACCAGGTGAAAAGCCATTTAAATATGAATCCTACCCAGTATAGTTCTTTCTTTCAAAATTGACTCCCCTCCAGCTTCTGCCTGTTTTAGGTGTATGGTGCTTTCAAATAAAGGGTGTGTCCCTCAAAAATGTGTATACATTATAACAGCTGATTTCTGTTACATTTTGAAAATGAAGTGCATTTTAATAATTATTCAGAGTATGTATACTCTTTTTGGACACCCTATAGTTATTTTTATGTATTCGAGACTGTGTAATTATTATCTGCAAAAGGATCAATCTAATATACTCTATTCTTCCATTACCAGAAGTTATACCATATTACTTTTTATTTCCTATTGATACTGTATAGGATTGAAGAAATAAAAACCTTCTACTTTTTTTTGTGAATCATGGCAGTAGCTCTTCAAAGTTTTCTAAATGATTGTGCATGTTACTAACCTTATTTTTTCTTTTTTCTCTTATAGACAAGAGATGATTTCCTAGGTCAAGTGGATGTTCCTCTTTACCCATTACCAGTTAGTATAAATGTTCATGATTTTACTTTTTATGTTTATTATTTTTATTTAAATTTAATTTAATATTTTAAATATACAATGTAATTAATATAAACACTTGATTTCTAAAATACATACTACTATCATTTCTTCAATATATTATTTTCTGATACCATCTCAATTTTCTGTTTTAATCTTATCTTCAAGATTTCCTTACATGAGCCCCAGTAAGAAATGGAGCCATTGAAGTTTGTTGACATGAAAACATGGTTTGAGGAAGATCAGTTTGGAAATAGTCTACTAAATAACTAGAATGGGGAGATAGGTTATAACAACATAGGCATGAAACTGAACCTGGGCGAGGTATATAGTAATGGAGGAAAACAGACAGATTCAGGAAACATTTTATAATAAAACTATATTGGATGAAGTTTCTGACAGGGAGTGTTAAAAAATAAGCAAAAAGTACAGATAACACAGGTTGCACTTAGGAGGTAAGTAGAAAAGTTAGGTGGAAAAGCCCTTTTGTTTTGAAATATGATAGATACATTTATTTTTTGCCATATTGAATTTCAATAGAAAGCAGTCAAAATGAAAACTTAAAGCATGCAGCTGATAGAGATATGAAAATAAATTGTGTAGGGCACAGGGACTGAAGGATTGAAAGTTACCACTGTCAAGGTAACTGCAGAATCGCTGAGAATGATTGGCTGTCCAAACAAGAGAGAAGAAAGCATTGAAGGCCAAACATTGAACCTGAGACAGCGTGGGTCTGTCAGAGGAGAAAGAGAAGACAAGGAGAGACAGGAAAAGAACCAATGTCCCGAGAATTCAAGACTTTCATGACTGAATGGGTAGTTAATGAAAATAATGCAATGGGAAGTAAAGGATAATTAGAACAAAAGGCTGCTGAACTTGATAAGAAAGAGAAGTGATACTTCTTTATGGTATCAGTCTTTTGAGATCTTTATTGGCTGTTCAGGGTCTTCAGAGATTACAAGCTTTTAATAATATCTTGAATTCAGTCTTACTTTCCATGCTGTTTACTTTTTCATTCTCCTAGAATTGTCTCTGCTCTAACCATGCCAACTTTCTGACATGGCATATTCCACTAACCACTCTACTGTTTTTTCTCTTCCTACCCTATTTTTGGCTCCACAACACACCTGCTCAGCTGGGTTTAGACTGAGTTGTGATGCCGGTTGCAATTCCTAGGGTGTAGGAAAGTGAAAGCACTGTTGATTGTAACCATCTAATCTGAAGCTACTTTTTTCTCAGTTTTAACTTCAATTATGCCTTACATCATAGTTCGTGAATATTCTTGAAAAGTACATATTTTGGTGTTATAGATATATCTTGAAAACCCACTGTTTTATTCTAGACAGAAAATCCAAGAATGGAGAGACCATATACATTTAAGGATTTTGTTCTTCACCCAAGAAGGTCAGTAAATATAAAATAATAACATATTAAGTTTTTAAAAAATTTCTTCATTATACTTTATAGTAGACACTTTGGAAATTCGAGGTTTAAACCTTGTAAATTCAAGGTTTAAACCTTGTAAATAAGCTACTTCTAACTATTTTATTATTTTTTTAAAGCTTTATTGTTACATCTGATTACAAAGTAATATATACATAGTACAGAATTCTGAAAATACAGAAAAGTGATCACACCCCTTTGGAAAAGATTTGTCCCCATAATACTTACCAGACAAAAGGCTAAAATTTGTTATTTTATATTGATTTTATATCATAAAGTATATGTCATTTTGTCATACTATGCTTTAAAAAATCACAAATATCAGTTCACCTAAAACTAATATCCAACTTGACATGCACAAAACCAATTTCAGAAAAACCTAACTACATTTTGCATACTTTTGATTTTAAAAGGTATTTCAGAAAACTCAAATATTTAAAGAAAATAACATGAGTAAAGACTGGAATTTAAAACCCGTAATTTCATTTTCCTAAACTAAATTACTTGATTTTTGTCAAAATTCTAAAGTTTAAGCTGTAAATAAAACTCCTTTTGATCTTTTGTACCACGTAGTCAAGAAAAATCTAGTCAAGACATGTGTGTGGATTTACTGTCAAAAAGGTCAAAGCAAAGCAGAGGAAGGACATCTGTGAAAACAGTATTTGTCTTGTTTTTAAAACTAGAAAACGCATTTGAAAAGCATATGGTGGGAACTTAGCAACATTTTTTTATTTAAAAATTTTTTTAAATTACTCTTTGTAATATAAATATTAAAACAAAAACGGGCAGCACTCTCTGACTATTAATATTTACTTTCTCTAAGAGAAGTCACATATTTAATTTCTATAGAAGTCTTGGAATACAAATTTCTTTTCTCCCTTTAATTTTAGACTGATTGTGACTTCTGCATACCAAGAATAACTAAATATTTCTTTTTTTTTTACTGCCCTGGTAGCCTGCTTTTCAATTTGTTAAATGCTTTCTACTATGCTTATCTTTAAAAACTGCAACAATTAAAATAATAGTAATAATAATAAATAAAATAAAAACTATAACAATTTACATCTTCTGTCTGCACTGGATATTACTGCAAGTGCAGAAAGAATTTTATTCAGATAGAAAATGAACTGTATTCCTAGATTTTTTTTTTTTTGGCCCCATTAAGTCCAAATCTACAGACTTGCTATCTAGATGGAAAGATATGAAACATATTATTGCAGAGAAACTCTTCTATAAAACATGATCAGAGCAAGTTTCTATATCTATCTTTTATAGCAACAACTCAGTGTTCACAACCCCTTAAATATGGTGACAGGCCACTGTTAGTGGCCTTGGAAATAAGCATCAGGGATTTTATTGACCACTCAGGAAAGATATACTTTCCAAGTCCATAAGAACTATACACAGAAGAAGAGCTAAAAAGATTGAGGGAGGCATGGGGGAGGCGTATTTCTTGAAGAAAGAATTAAAGGATTGGGATTCTTGTCTAGAAAGACAAAGGCTTATTGGTTACATAACTGCTATCTGTAAACATCACCAAAAAATATATATATAGAAAGGTAGAACAAGCAAAGATTTCTTAAGTAAATAGGATGTTAGAATTGATGAGGGCAATAATAAGTCTTAAGTTAGAAGCTTAAGAAAGACAGGTTTGCCCCACCGGCTGTGGCTCAGCGATTGAGCATCGACCTATGATCCAGGAGATCGCAGCTGGATTCCCAGTCAGGGCACATGCCCGGGTTGTGGGCTCCATCCCCAGCAGGGGGCGTGCAGGAGGCAGCCCATCAATGACTCTCTCATCATTGATGTTTCTGTCTCTCTCTCCCTCTCCCTTCCTCTCTCTGAAATCAATAAAGGTATATTTAAAAAAAAAGAAAAAGACAGGTTTAAAAATTTTAAATATTAATACAGTGGGTAGCAACCTTTAGCATAGACAACTCATTATTCAAAGAGGTGACACAATATGAAAATAGATTAGGTCAACTAGCGTATGACAGACTCCAACAGCTGTCAAAGAAAGACAGTAGGTTCCCGACGGTTACCAGGCTTTGCTCTTCACTCTTTGTCATCTTGACAGTGTGGCTAGATTAGCACCTCGAAGGCACATCTCTGAGGATGCCTTTCGTATCCGCCCAAATTCTGTGGCTTCACAGAGTATGCAAAATAAAATCTCAAGCTCCCGTGTGTCGCCTGGACCTCACCGCCTAGACCCCCTGCACCTCCGCTGTGCGCCCCGAAACCCAGGCGCGCTCAGCTGCAGCGATGCCCTTGAGGGCCCCGGGCCCCCGTCCAGCTCCTCGTTGCCGTTGTCTTCACTCGCACGCCGTTCCCTTCGCTGCCACAGATCAAAACCCTCCCCAGCCTTCGAGTCCCAGTTCAGATGCCAGCTGCTCTTTCAAACTCTCCCTGGTCTTTCCCTTAAACTTCCTAAGTATCTTATTTATCTCGTAACAGTTATTTATTTATGCGTGTTCCTTTCGCTCCACCGTTTATTCTTTTTCCTAGGAAGCCCTGCGCCGGAGCTTGTCTTTGAGTCTCCTCTGGTAGTTGGTGGGTGCTCAGGAAACTCTCAGTGAATGAATGCTTCTCTTCCTAGTGTGAAAGTTTTGTGAATAATTCTCTTCTTTTCTACAGTCACAAATCAAGAGTTAAAGGTTATCTGAGATTAAAAATGACTTACTTACCTAAAACCAATGGCTCAGAAGATGATAACGCAGAACAGGCTGAGGAATTAGAGGTGAGATTTTATGTAAACATTTGGTTAAACTAAAGGTGAAATAACTAATTTCTTGTTTTAGTATACTGTGAAGAAGAAATACCTTTACGCAATGAAGTTAATGTGTGCAATACGAATTATTTACCTGGATATTTATGTATTTTACCCAAGCATGTATTAAACATTTCTTTCCTCTAAGAATACTTCTGTGGAATTAATGGTCATTATCAGTGGCATTCTTAAAGGTTAGAAAATACAATGTTGACAAATGAGAGCGTTTGTTGTAATTAAGTCATTAACTGTTTCTAGATTTCTGTTCTCTAAACCATGTCATGTCCCTCTTCATTAAAGTAAGAACACTTTGTAAGCTCAATACATGGAAATTTTGAGGAGACTGCTAATTAGGAAATTTTTTTATAACATGTAATTCCTTTTCCTATCAGGGTTGGGGAGGGGACTCATAGGAAAGGAGGGGAATGAGAGAGAGAGGAGAGAAGTCAAGTGATCTCATAAAAGGCCACATTTATTTGGGTCAAGTAGGACTTACTTTTCATGGGTGACAGGGTAAGAGGCAGTCCAAGTCAACCATCTGGGCAGAACGGCACACATCAGAGTGAGTGAAGACGAGGCCGAGAGCATGTATTCGGAATAAAATTGGTCTGGGATTTGGAGACTGGAATCCTTAGTCACAAGATCTGCTGCAAGCCAGCCCAGTGACTCCGTGAGTCCCTGAACATCTCTGAACCTCAGGTTCTTCATTTGCAGAGTGACAGCGCTGGGCCAGATGAGTGCTAGGGTTTCTTCCAGCAGAAAGATTCACAATTTGAAAAGGGAACAAAAAAACACCTGCACCGTGAGGTTCCCATTGCAGGAACACTTGCTTTGGAGGGGGTGTGGGTGTGGGTGTGGGTGTGTGTCTCCGTCAACAGCCATGCCTCTTTGCCTTAGGTCTCCAGAAGAACTATAACCTCCTGAAAGGGAGAGAAAGCTCTAGAACAAGTGGTGCCTTTGGAACAGAACTTTCAGGGAATTTTTTACATACACAAATGAGATTTTGCTTTGTGGGGGAACCTAATATAATAGAAAGGACCTTTTTTCTTTGAATCACAGAATATAATTAGCCCTTAGTTTGGTGGTCAAAGAACTTGGTAGCCTTTCTTATGTCTGTATTTACTTATCTGATTACCTTTTCATCTTTTTAGTTTTTCTCTGGTTTATCATATAATAATCACTTAAAAATTTTAAGATATTTATTGGGTTGAAGTTTCTGGCATTTTGGTGCACAGGGTATTTTGCATAATGAAATTCTGTTTGTATTGAAGGATATCTGCTGCAAAGAAAGAGAATTCTTTATTTAGTAACTTTAAAAAAATTAACATTTTATTATTCAGTAATCTGCTCCAAGTTTTGGCCACACGCACGTATCACGGGTACCTTATCCACAGTTCAGTTTCTGTGGACAGAGCTGCTTTGCTCCATTTGTGGTCTCCAAGTCTCAATATTTGAATTCCCTCAGAATGCACCTTATAATTTCAGTAGATGTAAGCGTGTCGGAGTTTATTTATGAAAGGCCCTAGGAATTCAAACACACGAATCTGTGCTTATTTATGTTCTGTGTAGCTAATGACCAGAGAAGTCTTGCCTTTGACATCTAGTTTGTGACTGAATATATACAATTCGACTATTTAAAGAAAACAGTTGTAATCTTCATAAGAGGCTCACTCTAAGGCAGTTAGTATTCCTTTGTAAGATAAAGTGTGGTTATAATAGATAGTCATGTAACATTTGATTTTTGTACCCTTTGCAACTTTAGATTTGGGCCTATGTATTTCACAAGATTAACTTTCAGTGTTTGTTGTAGCTCTGAATGCTTTCTTTCTGACCTTCTTTGACTCCATTAATTGTGGGCAGTTGCATCTTAGCTTTGAGGTTAGTAATTAAGTAACATTTATTGGTACTTAGAAAATCATTCTGTGAAGAATATTAGCTGGTACATGATTAATAGGGAGATATTATATACAAAAAATGAGAACTCAGACTTCCTAAACAATGTTAAAATGTAAAACTGTACTTTTTCAAACTTGAAACAGGCTTTTTAAAAAAGGTTCTTAATTAAATTGGTTTTCCCCTCTTCTTGGGTTTACTTGGACAACATAAATTCAATAAGCAGACCTTTAAGAGAGAAATCTTTAAGAAGATTTTAAATATTTTCTGGTACTATATTCCCAGCTCTGAATATTTTTAGTTCTTTAAAGCAGCAGTGAGGACCCTTTTATTAATAAATGTCATTAATCTGCATAAAAATAATCAGTGACCATATTAAAAAATACTTGTTAGTCTTTTTTTTTTTAGAGTAAAATATAAAAATTCAATGTACATGCTTTAAAAATGAAAACTGGAGAAATAAAATTCTATTTAATATATACAAGACTAAATTTTAGGCATGTAGATTCTATATTATGATTATTTAAAGGAAAGGAAAGAGAGAAAAGGAAGGTAAACATAGATGAAGAGAAAAAGTTAGAGGATTGAGGGAAGGAACAGAATGGAGTTTGAGCGTTAAAAAATATAAACATGTCAGTTCTCATAGAAGAGATAAAAAGGGAAACGTAGCAAAGGGTAAGAAAGAAAGGGAGTCAGTGTTACTGCCGGTCTGCATCCCTTTTCCCAGAACAATTCTGTCTCCCTCCCC